GTATTCTTCCTTGTGTAGTTTGACTTATTAAATATATATTGCATTTTGCTTGAAGTTGACATTAGGGTTTTGGTCATAGCTTCTGGCACCAGTGCACAAAGAAATGAATGCTGATCTTTCCCATGGTGAAATAAGTGGATTGCCAGTTGAACTATGCTGCATTAGCCAAGTTTAACACCAGTAGAAGAGGAGGATGAGACAAAGAGTCTGTCAGTGATTACACAAACATTTCCTTAATGCCATCACCTTTTTGTTCCCTGAGACAGAAGGCACTAGTAAATTCTATTCTGTGGGTACAGTGCAATTTTGTAAACATACATTTTTCTTTTAGTTTAGATACAAAAATGGGAATTTATGGTTTTATTTCTGAAAATTTTATTCTTCAAGGTGATAACGTCATTATATTTTCAAGAAAGACTGCCTTTTTTAGCTAAGACAGTTGGTGGTCATATAACTTTTCATCCCTGTAACTTCAAAAATAAATTCAATTAATATTTTTATGAGGAGAAAATATAAAAGGCTGGGGTTAAATTCCAATTTTTATATAAGAATCTTGGCAGACAAAAAGTGGACACTATTTCTTTCTTCCAAATGCTTAATGTGAGTTAAATAATAATAAAAAAAATCTTTTAACCATTAAATTTGATTGTGTCACTTGTCTTTTTTTTAATAGAATACATGAATTGTTGTATAAGACCAGTAGGATCTCAGTCCAGTTTTTGTTTGGCTTAAACTGCTCATGAAACTAGTGATAGTTTTCACAAAAATGGCCGGTTGTCCTACACAGATATTTAGGTGCCTGAGTGTGCATAGAGTTTGACACTCAGAAAATGAACAAAATTCAGTCTTCAAATATTAATCACTGTTTAAACCTGACCTCAAAAATTTTTTCTTTGTAATTTTCCTAATGTGCCATCACTGAAAAATTTAAGAATGCAACCAGGTAAAATGGCTTTCAATGCCCATGAATCAATGAAAGAAATACGGTCTTTCTCTCTTTTTTGCTTAATGGCTTACATCTTTTATCTTGTCACATAGTTCAATGGCATAGAATTACAATAAATTAGTTTTGCAATTATCAAACTCTTCAACTTCACTTTGGCATTTAACGAACCTCACAATCTGTTTATTGCTTCATATACTTTGCTATCATGAATATTAGCCTTTAATTAACTGGAACTCTAATCTTAATCTTTCTCACTATATTGCAATGAAACATTTTTATTAGCCTGAAGAAGATAATATTTGTTACTATTTTTCCAATAAATGGACTACTTTCCGAGTGACCTTTTTATCAGTAATTATAACAATATAAAATGTAAGAAAGCAAAACTCACTATACCAAAGAAAAGCATTGTCCAATTATTTTGTTTTGTATTTCACTTAGCAACATAAAATCACTGAGAAGCTTGAGCTGAGGGACACCTGTAGAGATAATGTCATCCAGACTTAGATCAGGAATTGCAAAAATGAAAGAGGAAATCAAACACGTAAACTTTTCCTCAGGCAGATTATGCACAGCTAGAATGACCCAAAGCAGTGTCTGCATTAGAGAATAATGCTCTGTGGTGGTCTCACTAGTAGTGAAGACTGGAAGGAAAAGAAACTGTTTGCAAAAGGTAAGCAGTACTGGCTCAGTGCAGCCACTCTAGCAGAGGTCTCATAAGCTAGGTTTGTCAGATACAGAGAAAACAAATTGTCTTCATTAAATAAAGGAGCAAAAGTACTCTTCAGTCATGCAACATTACTGTATCTTCATTGCAGGGACAGTTCCACTGTCTTCCTGATTGCTGCTATTTCTTTCTTCTAGGTAGATGTCAGGCTCATTTCTGTCTTGAGCATTTCATTGCTTTGAAATCAATTTGTCTTCCAGGTATTTAAAGGTCTCTGTACCTATTGCAGACCGATCTGACAAGAAAAGCATCTTCAGGACAAAGAGAAAAACAGCAGCTCTCTCTGTTGACACTCTTTTCAAGGATTCAGTACAGTGCTGTTTCTCCAGCTGTATACAGTACTTTGGTAGTTATACAGCAAGACATGTTCAGAGGGTAAAAAGGTCCATATTGAAGTGGAGACAAAAATGACATGTAATATTGAAATGAGAGATACGATAATAGATTGCATTTATTAATGGAACTTCTTCATTTTTGGTTTTAGGAATAACCTTGCTTAATATTTTCATTGAAAAAATCAGGATTGCATAATGAAATTTATAGTTGGCATAATGTTTGGATGAAGATCATGGTGTGACAGAAGTGGAAGCCTTTGAGTCCTGATGTTATAGAAATGGAATTTAATATTATAGTACAAAGTACAACATAATGTACTTAACATTAATGACAAGAAGTTGTATTATTAACATTGAGCTCATCATCTGAAAGACCCTTGCTGTGGCACTTAATCAATGGATAAGTATAAGATGCCAATGTGATGTCACCATGAGACTAAATGTAAGGCTGAGCAATCTCCTAAACAGACTGTATCACATCCAAAATAATACATTGTATTTATGATTACTGATAATCAGGATTTAGTCAACTTGAATGGACTTTTTTTTTGTCAACTTTTGCAGTCACAGCTTGAATGTACAGAAGTTTTTAGTGTTTACAGTGAACTGACTTTTGGCCAGGAGTTCCATAAATCCACTATTTGCTGCATGAATACATAACTACTTTTGTTTGTTCCAAACTTCTTACTGGCTAGATTTAATGTCCCATGCTTTTACTGAAGGAAATAATGGGAAATCTGCCCTTGTCACCTTTTCCATAATATCAGGATTTTATAGTTCTTTATTTTATTCTTCCATACTAATAATTTTCTCCTTTATTCTGTTCTTTTGAAAGCCATTCCATACCTTCAGTCATTATCCTCTTCTGAACCTTCTCTGATTCTACCATACCTTTTTTGGAGATGGCAGATCAAAGTAGGTATATTAATTAAGATGGAGCTTCAAAGTCTTCATCTAAGGACAATGCACAATGAAGGGGTTTGATACCAGCATACTTTAAGTCCTTCTAGTATCTTTGTTCCTGGATAAAGAATATGAAGAAATTAACGTAAACGTATTTTCTAGAAAATTTATAAAGTACAGTAGGGAAAGGCTCATAGCAAATTTACTAATATGAGTTGGGAAGAAGAGAATGTCTGGTATCAGAGAAGATGTAATTTGAGATTGCATTAACTACCTCTAGTTATGGTAGTCTCCTAAAATTATTCAGATTGTATCTCATGTAACCAAGACAGCATATTCTTTATCAATAATTTAAGTTAAAATCTAACAGGTACCTCTGATATTATACAGCAAATAATGTTTTAAAGGATGTATTAAAGACCTGTTTGTGAAAAAATATACAAAAGAACAGAGGTGTTTTTCCATTGGCCTCAAAGTGCTGTGACTCTGAGATTTGCCTCAACTGAGAAAAAACCAAAACGATCCCACAAAAAAACAAGTGAAAGTAATTATACTGGTGGTGTAGAACAAATTGCTCCTCTGCAGAACAGCAAGTGGAGGTTTATTTACATGGGTTAGGAATGCTTTTCTTGGAGTATTATTCCCAACTGCTGCAGATGTGTTTATTAAGCAAAGTTACACCTGTGCATATCAAATCTGGTTTTACTGGACATGGTCTATCAGGGAAAGCAATATGCAACAATAGGTCACAGTTTAGTAGCCTAGTTGAAGCAATTTGTGGAAAAGCACAGTGTAGACATATCACTAGTGGACTCCTCTACCTTGGCCAGTGGAAAATTATGTGAAAACACTTTGGGGGGAAAAAAATGCCAAGTCAAATTTATATCTGTATTTAGCAGAGTTAAATTATGGAATGACCCAAATGAAAAAGAGGATGTTACAAGTTTACATTCTGTTTGCTGGAAATCTGAATGTCTGTACTGCTAGAAACTTAATGAAAGGGTCACTGAAGACAAATAGAACAGTAAAAAATACTGGGTATGGTTTACGAACACTGAAGTTCTCATTTTTGCGTTTTTTGGTTTTTTTTTTGAAAATGACACATTATAGCATTTTTAACAGAAGAAACATGAAGAGAATTGTAAGAAGTTCTTATCCCGGATGCACAGCTATGGAGTTTCAGAGTGAAGAATCAGTTGTCAAGGACATTTGAGATTAGTTTAGCTCTCTTAGACTCTCTTAGCATTTGAGATTAGTTTAGCTCTCTTAGACTCTCCTAGCATTTGAGATTAGGTTTGTTAATTAGCTTAAACAATAGATTTCTTTTAAGTACTTGAAATTCTATTATCTTAGTGCCAATTGTTAGTTGCTGTTGCTACCATGTTTATCTGAGGAAAAGGTTCCAGCATGAGCATTTTGGAATTCGACTGTCATTCAGACTGTGCTATATGCTAAACCAGCAACAACTCAGATAAGGAACTGAGTGAAGCTAAATCAAATTTCCTCACAGGCAGAGAAGAGAGGTCTGAGCAAAAGACCTTCATTTTTTCCAGTACTTCAGCCATCAATACTGAAGGACTGGAAGTCATCTGAAAGCCAAATCCATAGCATTTAGGGATGGGATATGCTAAAAGAGATTACCTAATCTCATTACCTAATGACTAGCAAAAGATGGTGGAGAGCATGAACAGTAATATTAGTTGGAAATCAAGTCAAATTACTTCTAGAAAGAAATAGAAAAGGGAGAAATACTTAATTTTCTAACAACTTCTACTGTGTAATGTTCTTCTTAGTGTTTTCTTTTTGCTTAGAAATATTGTGATAATAGAAAGATGTACTTTAAAATATAGCAAATTTTTATGGGATAATCTGAAAGTGGCAAAAAAAAGGCAGTTAACAAAACCTGTAGATCATTACCAAAGTGTATTTTCAAAGTAGTGTAGTGTAGCATGTAAAGAAGAAAGCAAACTATAATTTGGGAGATCACTTATTCGTCTTTTATATCTCTTTTAAGCCAGACTTTAGGCTTTTTCTAAAAATATGTTACTAAACTATGGGGTTTTTTTGTTTTGTTTTTCTTCTTTTTAAGGTAAGAGGGCCCCCACCTGCAGGATCAGTAAAACAAAGACCAGCAAAACGCACAGCTTTTCGCAAGTTTTATGACAGAGGAGACTTTCCAATTGCTGTTCAGCATGAGTGTGCAGGAAACAAAATTGCCTGGAAGGTAAGTCCTGGCACAGCTGTGACAACCAGCTGAGCTTATTGAAGTGACATTTCTCATTGTCAGACAAAGTTAGCTTGCAAGTAAATACACTGAAATAATTTCTTAGCAAATGGAAGATGGTGGGAAAGTCATTAGAGTAAGGCCCCTGAGTCAGCTGTCTGCCTTTGCTAACAATTAAATTATATGCTGCAAAAAGGAAGATGACAGAGTTGCTTTGCCTTAGAGAATTGTCTCCTGCCCAATTCATCTCTATTTTTATGAGGACTTGGCAATGCAGCCTGTTTCAGGCAGTCCATCAAATGATGGAAGTGGCTGGATACAGTGAGCAGCAGCCATTTATCTCCCCCAGATTTCACCTTCCTGCAGGACACTTCCAAATAGAAGCTTTAATTACCTAAATGGATAGGTCAAGATTGTCTGCTCCCTGAAAATGCAGAGCAGAATACAAACGAAGGCAGATTCTCATTCCACGGCTGTACTCTCAGTCTCCAGCATATGTCAGACAGCGTAATCGCTGTCATACGTGCCTCTGTTACAGGCTGACCTCCACTGCTGAAACCATTACAGCTCCGACATTTCTCTGACAAAAGGTTAATTGGCTTCAAAATAAATGTATTGCCTAATGACTCCATTCTAATGCGGCTGTGTTTCTCTCTAAAATGCTTGGTGACGTTATTTGTAAAACTTGCCAATCTTCTAAGTAACTACTGCAGACTTTTAAATTTAATTTTAAAAATGAATGCTGATCTTTAACCTGCTCCTACTATTTAATTATTTTGGTTTTCATGAATTACTTTATTTTTTCTCTCATTTATTGGACTAGAATAAGATTTTGCTGGAAGCGATGTTAGTTACAGAAAGTGGACATGATATGTATAAACATGATGCATCAGATTTGTAGAATGTTTTAAATTGTTCATGTCAAAAACATGATACCAAATTTAAATGTAAAGCTCTCTTAAGTCAACACTAAAAGGAGGGATTTTGCAATCTTACAACCAATTCTTCTTGTAACGGAGCAAACAGGATTAGCTCTGTAGTGTGGTAAGTAGTACAATATTTGATAGTAACTAAATTTTTAAGGTAGTTCTTTTGCTTATTGGAATACAGAAGAAAGATTTGTGCTACTATTTGGTTGCCTGTATAGCAGTTTTAAATCAGCACAAGTAACAATTAATAGTTCTTGCAGCAAAAGGAATCTCTATCCCAAAAGACTACCCATAATCGAGATGAGATTCTAGTGCAATTGGATTTTAGGCAACACTAGAAATTCCCTTGCTGGACTAAAACAGGCTTACAACTTAAGCCTGCACTCTAATCTTTCATCACCAGGTGAGACTCAAAGGTGATTTTCAAGCAACTGCAAAAAAATCTGCACATTTTAGTTTTCATCTTGAGGCGTTGTAATTTCTAATTTCTCAAAATCAGACAGAGAGGTACAGAAACACTACTGGACTGACATTCCACTAGATGATGCTAGTGACTGCTTAGTTGACTTAGGACATCAGGAAATGAAATGAAGCTGCATAAGAAGTTCAGATGGGACATTAGTAAAAGGTTTTTCATTGAGAGGATGGTTTGTCACTGGAACAGATTCCCCAGGAAAGTGGTCACAGCACAAAGCTTGTTAGTTTCTGGACCAAGCTCTTAATCATATGATTTAGATTTAGGTAGTCCTGTGAGGAGGAGGGAGTTGTATTTTATGATCCTTATGGGTCACTTCCAGCTTGCTAACTTATCTGCAAGCCTTCTAACCACAGATGGATGCTAAAGTAAGTGTTTGATTCCTATATTTGACAGTTTTGTTTGCAAACATACTGCTTTGAGCAGAGTCTCTAGTCAAAGATCCAGCGTGTATTTTTTCTTAACACACTGTGCAGTCTTCTAGACCTAATGTCCACCTACTGCAATGTTTTTGCTAGTGCAGTGTAGGATTGAGCTGTCATGCAAGAGTTATTTTTGCTATTCTGCTAATCCTTTCTTTGGAAAAACTATCAGAACTTCAGCATGAATGTAAATAATCAGCACAGTAGTGGACTATTCCGTTCCTATATTAGTGCATGTTCAGATTCAACCTTATTTTCCTTATTCCATGCCACTCAATTTATCACATGAATCAATCCTGACTGAGTTCTATGGCAGGCAGGCACTCAAGAAAACAACACTGAGGTAGTGGAGTTACCTGAGGCTGTTGTTTAGTTTGACATGCCACTGTCATGGATTATTGTGCGGTTTAAGTATATGAAACAGGCAAATTGGCATTTTCCAGTTAAAACTTCGCATTAGATAGTTCCTGAAGTCTTAGAGGCTGCCCAGAGCTGCAAAAGGGTGAGAATGTTGTTTATCATTAGCTGATAATTTAAGGTACAGATAAACTAAGGTCTGTATTTTTCCCTTGTTTTAAGGACATAGTTGCACTACCCACAAGATATCTAATGGCTAATTTTGATAAGTTCATCATACTTAATTTTATATCTAATAAAGAAGTTAACTTTTTAGTAATATAGTTTACTTAATAGTGCTTAAATTCATGACAACTGAAAAGAGATTTACTAATTAAATGTGTCTAGGGAAATATATAAAATCTTGGCTGAAATATACTTATTTGCATGAATCTTTATCAAGTCAAAGGATAAAAAGAAGAAATAACAACAGTGATGTTTTAATCCTGCTGTAATTACACAATATCAAAGTTTTATGTTGAGAGCATTTATTTTGCTCTGTTTAGTTATAGTGTATATCATGGTTCATTTCACTCTTGTTTGTCTATCAAGTGGTGCATGAGAGAAAATGCAGGAGGGTCTTAGAAACTTGATTTTTTTACTGGCAGAGGAAAATACTACAGGATTTTTTCTTTCCTGCAAAATGCACAGCTTTGTTTGTTTTTATAATTACTGAATCAAAACTGTGATTGTCAGACATTTATTATTTTTTAAACACTTTGAACGCCTGTTCATTATATTATAATTCTGTGGACAGAATACAGTCATTTTCAGCCCGGGAGAATCTGAAATGCTTTAATATACATGAATGGTATTTGGTTAATATGTACCAAGAAATTCATACAAATGGCACTTGATATTGTGATATACAGTTCTGCATACTTGGAATTTTAAGCCCATGATTAATTACCTGTAAAGACTGGCTACACATAACTGTGGTTGTAGACCTAGATGAAATATAAATTTAAACTTCAGGAAATGTATAGAACTGTTTTTGAGTAACTGCATGTGTTGAATATTTAATTATGAAATAATAGTGCTTTATCTGTTATTACATACCTTAATGTTTTCCAAAATGCACTGAATTTAGAAAGAGGCATTCTTGCTCCAAATTAATCCTAAGCAGAAACAAGATTAAACTGTACAGATAAACCGTGGTGTTCACCTTGGTGTCTTTTCTTAAAAAAGGGGACCAAAGCAAATTAGGTCTCAGTAGATCATTATAGGAAGATGTGTGTTCTTGGTATCTATGTGTAGACAAGCACCTCATCAAATATTTCTGTAAAACTGTCATTCTGGTTGGTAAGTTTTACTATTGTTGCAAGTTCAAATAAACTTGTTTCAACCTAATGGAAGAAAAAATGTGAAAATATAATATACATTTACAACATATAATATACAAGAACAGGAAATTTAACCTGGTATTAAAGAATACGATCCAGAGGAAAAAAACTCTGATAATGCCAAAGCAAAACTATGTGGTTCCAGAGGATATAATCACATTTATTTCTGAAAGAAGGCATTGATTGTTTTGGGGTTCCTAATGTTTATTTTCTAATCTAGAAAGAAGTTATCCTTTTGTTATTTTGAAAAAGTGAATATAGAGAATGACTTGTTAATCATGTCTGTGAATACAAGACATAACTTGCTAAACAGATTTCTGGCTTTGATTGCAATTAAACTAAGAAACTAATTTCAAAATTAATTCTAGACTTTTCATCCCCATTCAGAGGATGTACTAGCAGTCAATGAATTCTTTGCTAAATGTAACATTTTAATATCTACTTTGAAGCCTTTATTTATATCCTTCCTTGGTAATCAAAAAGAGAACTGTATATATACCAATGCCTTAAAAATTCTGCAAATAGTTAATTTTTATGTTTCTTTCTTAAAGTAGTTTTTTGGATCTGGAAATAAACAACTTCTTTGGTTGGGTTATTGAACAAATGTTCAAGGGTCTTTCCAAATAGTGGAAAAAATCAAATGCTTCATAAGTGAAAATGAGTAATAATGGTACAGTTTGAAAAAGTATTTCTAGTGTGTATTAAAAATAAAACTTGGGTACATAAATTATTGTTAATTTAGAATTAAATAATATTTGAAAGTGATCTTTCTATCAAAAAAAGTACTAAAATATTTATAAGTCTTTTTGACTACTTTTCCCACAGTTCTTTTTCAGCTTATGTATATTGCAATTTTATTTCAAAATGTATTAATACATTCTTTTGCACAATTTCATACCAAGCTATGAATAATAAAAGCTCATAGTTCAGGTCTGAAAAGGACTTCCATTTTTAAATATACGATACTGAATTAAAAAAGGTCAGAATGCAATTAAACCTTTGACTAAGAAAGTTGATAAAACCAAGAAAGTATTTTTGAATCATAAAGTATGTGTTTGAAATGCAGTCTCTCTGTATTAAGTGGAAAGTCACCAGAATGTTTGAAAAAATTTTTAGGGAGTGGAGTTAATTATGGAAGTCATTATGCAGGCATAAAAAAAACTTCTATTCTTCAAAAGAGCTGTAGCAATTTCAGAGAAATGAAAGCCAAATTCAGAAACTCAAACTTTCTAAGCAAAATGTCAACACAAACATGATTTCCATCTTCTGGGGTTCCTTTCCCAGAGTATCTGTATTCACTAAGGATATGACTTCTACCATTTTAGTTTCTCTTCTCCTCTTTCCTACACAGTTTGTTTTTTGTTTTTTTCAGGAGCTAGTATAAGCTATGGTAGCAAAATTATTTCTTTGTGATAGAGACTAAATGCTGGGCTGA